CTCTCCGAATACGCCCCGATGATGGAAGACTTGTAAGGTCGCATGTCCTTGACCCCGTATTTGCATTTTTATGTGACCTGACACATCCCAAATAGGGGGGTCCTTGTGAAGCAGCTGCCCGCGATTCCAAAGCACGTATGGTGTTGGATTGTAAGGTGCCCAAGTACGTTTGCGAGGAAGAGAATGTGGCCAGGCTGGAGAGGAAAGTGCAGTGGCATATTGGAATGTGAGATTAGCGTACGCGAGTTACAGGGCGTTTGGCGCACGGGCGAATTTACGTGCAAATCTTTCACCGTAGCATCAGTCCTCAGTTCACTTCTTGGAACGAACATCAGCATAGGTGCAAGCCCTCTCGCTTGGAGGGATATGCAAACAACCATCCTGATAGGGGTAAACTCGCACGCTACCGAGCATTCAACCGAGCACATGCATGCTTAGTTGAATGGTGAGATGGACCCCCCCTTCATTTCGTGCTCGGCAAGCCTGCCACCGCGTACCGGATATGTTGGCGATGTTACAGAACGCTGCACCTTGGTTTCTGTGCGCATTGCGTACGTTGCTCGACCCCGCCGACCAAAACTACACGTGCCCAACTGAAGACATTCCCGGTGGTTGTGCAGCAGCTCTTGAGGCTGTTGCTGGCTGAAATCCATCCTGAGCTGTTGCAACACGGCTAACGCGGGCACGTCCCTATGCACAGCAAATAGCTGTTCCAAGCCAACGGCGGCGTCCATGTCACCGACAAGGCTCTAAACGTCTTATCTGTTCTTATGTTTAATTAAGTTTATGTATGTTATACTTTGCGCAACTTTGTAAGTTGACTTTACTCTGAACAAGGTGCTGCATACAACTGCCTCTTCGCCAGCGCTTCATCTTCCGCGGCAGTTTCACGAGCCCAGAGTTGCAAGCTAGGACGTTGGCATTCGGTGCTTTCATTTCAGTTATTGCAAAGCATCCAGGCAGTAGTCCAGCATGCATGCCGCGTGCGGCTATGGCCAACATGCCCACTTGCGCAACGCGCTGCCGCACGTGGTCCTCATCCGCCAAGAAAATTTATATACACTTGTACAGGCGCATTTTGTGAATCGCACGCGCGCATCTGCGCGGCAAAATTCGCTCCTGGCTTTTTTGGGACGATGTACGAACACTTTATTCGCGAAGTACGACCGGACACATTTGTGCGAGGGGCTGCTTAACGATTAGCCAGCAGCAGCCATCCACGCTGATAGCTACGTCGTCAGATGCATACATATATACACACAAAATCCCTGCAGCGGTAAACGTTTCTCAAATGAACCAAACACGGCGAAAGCATGTAAAGCCAACGGACTTACCGACATAACGAAATCCGCAACTTGAATGTCCTGTTTTGACTTGGATGGTCTGCTGGATGCGGCTCGGTGAAGCTGCTAAGATGTTGTAAAGGCCCACAGTCTTGTACGGTTACCGCTCTTTTAGGGCGTCGAACACCAGCTGCTAATGCTTTGGGCCAGCTCTATTTGCTACATTGCCGCAGCGGCGACGAGGGCATGGTAGGATAGAGCATCGCAGGTATGCGTGGTTCGTTGGTCAATGCCACGGATTACAGATGCTGGTGTGTTTTCGGGGCTCTGGCAAAAGCAACGAGGTAGTGCAGCCATTGTACAAATGCCTGTATGTACATCAGTACGACAAAGGTGTCGCCATCGGCGCCATCTCCACCTTTAGCCCCTCCCTCTCCAAGCGTATCGGTGGTTTCTCACAGCTTCAGTTTATGAAAGGAACTGGCTCCAGTTGGCGACTGGAGGAAGCATTAGTTCCTAACTTGCCCGATCTGCAGAGCCCGACATCAATCGCTGACTGAGAGACAAGGAAGAGAAGAATACTAAGCTTACAAATAATGGTGTAGGAATGCCTTAAATAGTCTGGCAAAGCCTTGCACGACACAGAGTCGTACCGATCAAAGACAAACCATACGTACTCGGTAACGAACACAAATCCCTTACAGTTTATCTGTACATGGATGTTGCTTTATTTCGGTAAAGTACGACGATTTCGCTCGACTGCCGTAATACGGAAGATTGCTTTAGTGCATTCTTTTGCCTATGTGCTCGTACAATCGATTCGTGGGTTAGAGCGGGATTATATGTGGCCGCCATCGCCGCAGCATGACTGAGGAATAGGTGTCCGTGTTTGGATTTTCAAGCCGGCCGCAGCATCAGCGGCGTGTACGGCGTGTGAGGGAAGTAAAAGGTGCCCGCCGGTGGTGTAGGAGCAAGGTATCGAGTGCCGGGCCGCCAATTGACGAGAGGGCGGTTACAGCGGCTAAGTCACTGTCTTCTTGCACTCCGCACATGGCGAAATGTAGTTGGAGACGGTTCGCCCACGAGGCGAGGTCGGCGTCCTTAGCGGTGGGGTTGAAACGGGGGCCCTGGCTGTGTGGACCGGCTGAGGGGTAAAAGTGGGCGCTTGCCGGGACCCTGAGTTATGCAGTGCGCCAACGGCAGCAGTGGCGGCTATCTCGTAGACCCGATCCCAGGGGAGAGGAGCTTCGGACGCTGCAGGGGCAGAAGGTCCAGGGATTGGGATGCCGGACATGCATCGGCAGGGGAGTTGAGATGTGGACGTGTAAACAGCCGCCTGCCGGTATGTATGGAAGCCCTGCGGCTGGGGCGGCAGCTGCGAGGCGTCCAGGAGCACGGTAGGGAGGTTGAGTGGTCCCTAGACAGTCTGTCCGATCTCGTTGGGGATGGAAGCCATGGTAGACGATGGATGACGACGGGGACGATGCCGATGAGGACGAGGACGATGTCGATGATGACGAGCAAGGCGGGGTGGATACTAATTGAAAGGGAACCAGACCGCTCCTAACAACTGAGAAGCGTAAGCTGACTTTACTTGCCGAGGAGATGGCGTGTGCCTTAGACGTACAATGTCAATAATATGGTCCGATTAAATAGTCATGCTAGCGACTCAACGACCTCACTCGTCATACACACAAGTCCTCGCTCCGCTAGCTCCGAAATTACGACGTGGTCTCACACGTGTTCCGGTGGTGGTGGTGGTAAAGGCAGTTGCATCTGCAGCCGCCAGGTCGCCTTTGTCAGCCTCACCACCAGTGCAGCCGTACGTACGGGGCCAACAGGCTCATAAGGACCTCTCCTGGCTTTTCGTGTGCTTGGTGGGTGTTCATGTACGCGTCAGTGCAGTATGTTGTGTTGCTTGGTGTTGTTGTGCGCAGTTTCCTCCTTCGGCCATGTCTTCGACTTCTGAGTTTTTTTTGCGGAGTTATCGTGGAGCATGTGGTCCTTTTGTGCTGTGGTCCTTGCGCTTGTGCCACTTAAAGGCAAGTACCGGCAACAACAAGAAAACCGTGTCTGGGCACGCGCGTCTAATCTAAAGCTTGCCTGCGCGCTCTCGTCTTGTTACTTCATTACCCCTGAAGGCGCAACCCGCCCGCCGCGAAACCGTGTTGCGACCCCCCTCTCACTCCAACACACCCAGCATGCCCGCCACGAAACCCGAGATATGGGCGGGATGTCAAGGTAAACAACAACCACGAGGTAACCAGGTGGCCGCAAGGAAACAGAAGTAACTTATAACCACCGCCAAAACGTTATCTCAGAGCATTTGGAAAGGCCGCCATGCCGTACCGTTTCACGCTTAACCATAAAAATGCCTCCAACCTGCCCATGAATCATGATCGTATAAGAGTATATATCTTCCCCATTAAACAGGCTGCGATTATAGCACCGACGTCGTGTGTCCCAAAACGCGCGGCCTCCGGGGGGGGAAGCGGGCGGGGTCGCCATACGTGCTTTCATATTCGAACGCTCCGGGACCGCATAGATAGATGCCGGTTCTGTTCAACAATGCGCATACAATTAAAGCTGATAATCAGATCATACCATGGCAGCTGGCAGCTTCATTTAGCCCAGGTGAATCTCCTCCTTGCGAACGGCCTCCTGAGGTGGCAGCCCCGGCCACAGAGCATCGGGCCATGCCCTGCCTCCTCCTCCTCTTCCTCCCTCTCCTCCTCCCTCTCCTCCTCCCTCTCCTCCTCCCTCCTCCCTCTCCTCCTCCTCCTCCTCCCTCTCCTCCTCCTCCTCCTCCTCCTCTATTGGGCAAACTTGGTCCACCGAGTTTCCTCCAAACACTGTCCTCTCCCCAAGAGCACCTTCATCCGCCCGACGTCCTCTCCCACGCACACGCTCGCACCTCCAAAACTTAGGCTCCCATCCACTCGACCAGTACATCCTATAAACCACTGACCCCTAACGTCTCCAAAAAGCTACCTACCCATTCTTAAATGCACCCCCAGCATTAGCACAGCACGCGCAACCTGACGTAGGGAGCCCCTCAATTCCTCGCGGGGACGCCGTCCCAGGAAACGCGCGCGAAGAAAATGCCACTGTCCTGTGCACTCACATCTTTCCAAATCAGATGTCACGAATGCGAATGCCCATATACACAAGCTACACAAACGCCGCCTCTGATGCCAGCACGAAGCCGCCAAGCAAATCCTCGCAGTCGTACCCAAACCCGCACAAGCCAAGCACACCCGGCACTCGGCTGGTACCCAACTTAGTGCTACCCACGGAACGCGCTTCTGTACGAGGGAACCGTTCGCAGCGAGTGCGTCCCCTCTGGACCTTAGAACCTGGTCCCCCTTCTTCCATTTACTCCCGTCACTGGAACCGCCCTAAGAAATAAGGCCACGAAATAGGCCAGGAAATAGGAGATGCGCTCGGCTAGAGCACGCTAGAACCTGGGGCTCCCGTCACGCCCTCAAAACTCTTGCCCGGCTAAAGCCACTGCTCCTCCTGCAATTTCTAAGAGAGTCTCCCAATAGCAGCGGCTAGGGCGGCCGGCGGAGAGGTCGCAACAGCGATGCACCGGCGCCAGCCCAGTCGGGAGCTTGCTGGGCGTCGATAAATGAATCAGCGATAGCGGCTACAGCAGCAGCATCGGCAGCACCGGCACTGCTGCTGAACCTCAAGCAGGTAAAGCCATGGCCTCTCTCAGAAACCGGGCAGCTGGGAGAGGTCCAGCACCCCGCGGGGGAGGGCCGCCAGGTCGCGGAGCAGCGCCAGCCTGTTGGCCCGCACCGCCGCGTCCTCACACATCACGAAGACCTTGTCGAAGAAGCGGTCGATGGCGGGTAGCAGCGGCTCCACTGCCGCCAGCCACTCGGACACGGACACCGCGGGCGACATCTGTGGACGTGTAATGGGTAGTAGTGGATGGCCGCGAGTGGTCACGTGAGCATGGAACGTCGTTGCGTCATTGTCGTTCGTAGGGGGCAGGCGGCACGGGCAAACTTAACAAACCCTGATAAGAAAAAGCGAGGATAAGTTGGCAACGTTTTTCTCTAAGCTCTACGAGGAGGAGAAAGGGGAATGTGTCCGCGTTGACTCTGTTCCAGTCCACATGTGCAAATCCCAAAAGTGGTCCCGACCCTCAATACTGAAGTTACGCAGTACTTTACCTCTTGCACAGTCTTTCCTATGACGAGAGTAAGACCTGTGTACAGGCTGTGTACGGCCGTGTACGGGCGCAGACGTAATGGAGGTTAGGGCGTGCAACATGCGGAAGCTTTTTCCCAAGAGGGTTTTAATCCTGTCCCCTCCACAATAGGCTCAACAGTTTCGTAATATTGCGGTATGTATACTCGCGAAAAACTCGTTCCCCACCTTAGCGCGTGCGTCAGTGTAAGCCGCGTACAGCTGGCGCTCTTCCTCTCCCTCGAACACAGCCGGGTCGACAGCAACCGACGCGTCGGGCACCTCTTTGCCGCGGACGATGCGGGTGGGTCGGCTGAACGCCGCCATCACGCGGCGCAGGCTACCCGCCTCCCCCGCCTCCCACTCCACCTGTACATGCGCATGAGGCGGCAGGGTGCGGCACGGAGCGAGGTTGGCCGGATCAGACTCGGTGTTAGATCACCTCATGTCATGTCATCTTATCTCGTCTCAACACACTCTCATCTCAACACACTCTCATCTCAACACACTCTCATCTCAACACACTCTCATCTCAACACACTCTCATCTCAACACACTCTCATCTCAACACACTCTCATCTCAACACACTCTCATCTCAACACACTCTCATCTCAACACACTCTCATCTCAACACACTCTCATCTCAACACACTCTCAACACACAACTGTTCGCATTCACGGACTCATTTTTCATTGCTTTCCTCATGCCTGCCATTCCTGTACCCTTCCCCTCGCCGTTGTATCGCCCTGTCCGAACCTCGTTTTCCCGGGCCCTCCCCCCCCCAGTCGGGATTTGGTTGCGCCTGCTGTCTTAATGGAATGCGGCGGCCACCTCTCAGTAAGGGCTCCCCCTTATTGGAATGGAACCCTAATCCCCACTCCTTCAACGGAACATCTCAGGGTCATATCAGGTACACGCCATAGAGCGCGCACACACGCATGCATATACACACGCGCAACCACACCTTGAGTTCCTCCACCGTTTTCGCTGCCAGCGCCGGGTCATCCCCGCGCTCCCCCAGCACGGCCCGAACCACCTCCGCTGGGGCACCGCCATCACCCAGAAGCTGCTCAAGTCGGCCGTTGACGTACGACAACACGTCGGACTGTACGGCGTCGGAGACGGCGATGGGCTGCAGCGCAGCCGCCGCGGCGACAGCGGCACGGAGGCTGACGCCGACGTTGTTTGTCACCAGCGTCTGTAGATGTAGGGTGGGGAACGCCGATTAGGCGAGGTGCGGCAAGGGGGGGGAGGGGAGGGAGGGGAGGGAGGGGAGGGAGGGGAGGGAGGGGAGGGAGGGGAGGGAGGGGAGGCAGGCGTAGCGGACAAAACTCGAGGACACAACACGTGACGTCAGCACAGCTACACATGCCTTCTTAACACCCGCATCGGCCTCAAACCAAACTCTGAGTCCACCAAGACCTTTCCCATTACGTTGAAATTTGCCTTCCTTTATCGTCCCGCATTCTTCCACATGACGCGCCTCTTCTCGTCCTAGTGCTCATCGTCCCCACCCCGTAAATGCCCACATGCGCGAGTGGGCGGTATGCGCACATACACCGCACCTGCAGCATGCCGTACGCGGCGCGGCGGAGGCCGTACGGGTCCGCGGCTGCTGTCGGCGCGCAGCCCGCGGCGAAGAGGCCGACCAGGGAGTCCAGTCGATCTGCCGCCGCCACCAGTACCCCGGCTGGGCTGGCGGGCAGCAGGTCGCCCGCCTGACGGGGAAGGGCCGCCTCGAAGATGGCCTCGGCCACAGCGGCAGATAGGCCCTGAGCAGGGGGAGGAGCACAGCAGGAGCAGGAGGGAAAGCACGTGGGGAAAGGGAAAAAAATAGGAGTTATCTTTTCCAAGCAAATACAAAACACATTTCTCCTCCTCTTTTGTACTCCTCGGCCTCCCCTGTCCTTAATCCAAGCACCACGTCGTTCCTTTCACCTCGCTCTTTCCCTGTTGCTCTCCCCCCGCACACACACACACACATACACACACACACGCACGCACGCACACGCACACACACACACACACAAACACACACACGCACACACACATGCACACACACACGCACACAGACACACACACACACACACGCGCACACAACTTGCCTGCTTGTACGCGTAATGGCGGCCCATGGTGCCCGCAAGTGCCGTCATCTCGGTCACCGTGCTGGTCGCCAGGTCCGCCTTGCACAGCCGCGCCGCCTCCACCGCCACCTCCAACACGCCCGCCTCACCCCAGGCCGCCTGGCCCGGCCGCGCCGCCGCCACCGCCGCCGCCAGCGGCCCTACCAGCCTCTCTAGCCGGAGGGCCTTATCCAGCAGCGAACCCAGATCCTTCTGGAAGGTGGTGCCGGACAGCTTGGGCCTGAACAATAAAGGATTTTTCACCAAAAGGAAAAAACTCAAGTCCAAGTCCATCAGGTTCCTGATTCACAATCAGGGCATATTAAGGAAGTGGGTATATACGATGATAAATCCTTTTTTACTTCACGATATTTCTTCGTTATGATGACTTTTTAATGAAGGCGAGCCACCAAGGTTCTGTCAGATACCCTAATACTAGCGGCGACAGTGAGTCGCGGGTCGTGTGTAACAACAGAAAGGAGGGATCAGGGCCGCGAGGCACGCCCCTCTTCCATCTTGCCGCCCCAACAGATGCCCCCCATTCCTGAACACCTGAACGCCTCCAACGGTTGTTTCAAGTCCTCCCGGTAGAAGAACGTGGCGTCCTCGAAGCGAGCGCGCAGCACCGCCTCATTGCCCGCCGCCACGACCGCCGGATCCACAGGCCCATTGGCCACGGTGATGAAGTACGGCAGCAGCGACTTGCCGTCGGGCGCAAAGACCGGGAAGTAGCGCTGGTGCTTGCGCATCACCATCACCAGCACCTCGCTGTCGTGTTGCGTTGTGTTGTGTTGTGTGCCGCCCGTAAATGTGTGCCCGGGGAGAGGCAACGGGGGAAAGGGGGGCGACGTGGAATTGCAGAGGCCGCAAGGCGGGGAGGAGGGCGGAGAGAGAATTGGAGGGCAGCTCAAGATCGACATAAGACATAAGGCAAAAGACAGAGCCGCAAGGAGCAGAAGCCAGAACTTACGGCAAACCCCAAAGCGAACCCGTACGAACATCCATCCATCCATCCGACCGACCGACTGACCGACCGACGAACACGAATTCCCCAGGGACGTGAAGCACTCCCACCAAAGGCCTCGGGTCCAGAGTAGAGGACTGCGGGAAGATGAGTCCCTCAAAAATCCGAGGAGTAAAAGACCGATCTCCTACCATTATACCATCCGACAGCGCTTTCCCCCCCTCCAACCCCGGCCACTGCACCCTCCCCTCCCGCC